TTAAGCGTCTGCCTTCAGCTCAGGTCATGATCCCAGCGTCCTGGGATCGAGCCCCGCATCAGGTTCCCTGCTCCGCGGGAAGCCTTCTTCTCTCTCTCCCGCTCCCCCTGCTTGTGTTCCCTCTCTCGCTGTGTCTCTGTCAAATAAATAAATCAAATCTTTAAAAAAAAAAAATGCTACTTTACCATCTTTTTAGACATGAATCAGGAAGAAGGAAATAAATGATATTTTGATTTGTGTTATCTAGCACAAACTTTAGTAGAGTGCTTGCTAACAGAAGTGAAGGTTAGCTTGAAGAGGAAAAATAAGATGTTAAACTCAATGCCTTTCCCCTCAACACTTTATTTTTTATTTTTTTAAAGATTTTATTTTATTTGAGAGAGAATGAGAAAGCACATGAGAGGGGGGAGGGTCAGAGGGAGAAGCAGGCTCCCCGTCGAGCAGGGAGCCCGATGCGGGACTCGATCCCAGGACACCAGGATCATGACCTGAGCCGAAGGCAGTCGCTTAACCAACTGAGCCACCCAGGCGCCCTCCCCTCAACACTTTAATAGCAATCATTGTTTCACTAAGCTAGTGGCAATATTTTATTAATAATTTTTTTGGATTTTGTAGGCTTAAGATCTTATTTGTACTTTTACCTTCACATTCAGTAAAGATTCTTTGTCATTTGCTTGAGACCAATGAAAACAATGGTTATTATGAAAATAGAGTATAAAATTTTAGTTGATGTAAAGATGCAATAGTAAGCCTATTAAATTTTACTCAGAAGTACACTGAAGTTATATTAAAGCTGAATTTTACTAATATTAAGATGAACAATTCATTTGATCATTTCCTACATTTCATTGTTCTAATTCTTTTTTTTTTTAAAGATTTTATTTATTTATTTATTTGAGAGAAAGAGAGAGAGAGAGACAGAGAAACAGCATGAGAGGGGAGAGGGTCAGAGGGAGAAGCAGGCTCCCCGCCGAGCCGGGAGCCCGATGTGGGACTCGATCCCAGGACTCCGGAATCATGACCTGAGCTGAAGGCAGTTGCTTAACCAACTGAGCTGAGCCACCCAGGTGCCCTCACTGTTCTAATTCTTATCTACATTTCTTAAAGCTGTTTTTTTGCAACATTTTTATTATTTTAAATTATCTATGTATTGCTTCTCTCCCACCAGCTCAAATAATCAGAGGCAATACAATTTTAATTTTGGGAAGAAAAGCATCTTATAAACTCCCATTGGTGTATCACATGCAGCAGTAGTCTCCATGATGTTTCTGCACTGTCCCATAAAAATTAGTCTTCAGTCTCCTGGTATCATGAACATATCTGCACTTAGCGATTTTCTTTCCTCCTAAATGAACATATAAATTGGAGGAGAGTAAGTTGTGGTAGTAGGTCAGATGTGGTCCTTGTCAGACCACGCCATACATACTTAGCTGTGAAACCAACAAACTCTAATAGAACATCTCTTGTGCTAACAGCCCGAAAGGCCACACATTGGTGATAACTTCTCTCTTCAGAAAACAAACAAAATGAATGGACTGTATTTTGCAGAACAGGACCTTTATCTACATGGAAAGTGGAGGCAAGATATTTGGGGCATACAGAGGTCTTCAGGGCTACTGCTCTGCTGCCCCCACTCTTGCAGTTGACCTCAGCAGCACTGACCCCTCTATTTTCTTCTGTCCATCAGCTCTTTCCTGCCTTTTCCTCCTGATCCAGCTTAGATGCCTCATGCATTATTTCAAGCCCTCCCTGACCCTGTCATTTCACCTCAGCCATGTGGCAAGCCCCAGCCCTGGATGAACCCACCTCTCCACCTTCTCTGAGCTTGCCTTTGGACAACAGAGCAATGCTAGAGAAAAAGCCCAAATTCCTAATCCCCTATCTTCTTTTTTTTTTTAAAGATTTTATTTATTTATTTGACAGAGAAAGAGAGCACAAGTAGGCAGAGGCAGGCAGAGGGAGAGGGAGAAGTAGGCTCTCCACTGAGCAGGGAGCCCAACGTGGGGCTCGATCCCAGGACCCTGGGATCATGACCTGAGCCGAAGGCAGCTGCTTAACTGACTGAGGCACCCAGGTGCCCCAATAATCCCATATCTTAATTGGGGTACTAATCTCATCTGACAAGCTTAGCTTTTTCTCGTTAGCTTGCTATTACACTTCCCATAATAGTTAAAAACTTCTCCACTCTAATTCTATTATTTAATGAACACTGAGTGCCTATGAGGTACCAGGCAGTCTTCTAGGTACTAAGATACTACAGTGAACATAATAGATGAAATCCCTATCCCCACCAAGCATATACTAAAAGGAGACAGATAATTAACAAATAAAAAAGAAAAAATATATTAAGTGCCATTAAAAAAAAAGGGGGGGTTATGGAGTGCTGGAGAGGTTATAATTTTTAAAAAGTTTTTTTTTTTTTAAAGATTTTATTTATTTATTTGACAGAGAGAGACACAGCGAAAGAT